TTAACAAAGGTTATATAGCAGCTACGTGCTAAAAATGGGATGGGAACTCATATACTACTACCGTGTTGCATGGAGAGGGCACACTTGGAAGGAAATTAAAATGAAGAAAGAAATAAATGCAGAAAGGAAGAGAGATGAGTGTCTGAGAAAAAACATACAAAACACAAATTATGGCAACAACGGTCATGAAATTCCGTGCAATAATTGTGGAAATCTTTTCTCAACGCAGGAGGGTCTTGCTGGTCACACTCGTCCTCGCCACGGGCTGTTAGTCCCATGCCTCCTTATAACACAGCATAAAACTATAGTCTGGAGAGACGGAAAGTTACCAATAAACATGTTATGTGAGTTCTCGACACATCATACAAATTATTACCAGCAAGGGCAGTAGTGGTACCAGTGCTTGTGGTGGTAGTAGTAGTACTTTTTACTTTGAACCAATGTGTTCCAACTTCAAGGTCGTAAAAGAATTGTTCATTGCTTTAATCATTTAATTCAAACAGTTTTGTAATTTGTGTCATAAATATTTTTTCTTAAAATTGTTGTGGTTCTGATTCTTTTTCTTCTTCTTCTCTAGTGCAGAGACTGTTACTCAAAACCTACACAGTCAAATACAGTCTTTTCTCAGGGCTAAGTTTTATATCCCCTACTTCTTGCCACTTATATTAATGACCTTCCGTTACATCTCAATATATCATGTCTTCTTCTTCTTCTTCTTCTTCGATCCTTCTGTCAGAAAACTTATATCAGGAGGCCGGTAGCCTTTATGAAAGCTATCGTGCAATCCATATCCTCTCGTGTACCATACAGTTTTGTCTTCAGTGTGGTTGGAACAGGCCAGATTGCGTCTCTGTTGTCAGCATACAGTTGACAGTGTTGGAGCACATGCTCAGCATTTTCGGGTGCCACGCTGCAGGGACACGTCTCCGTATTTCCACCACCGAAAATTTTGAACATATGTTGACGAAATCTGTTGTGCCCTGTCCTTAGTCTGAATATAATGCACTGTCCCTCTAGAGAGGCGATGAAGTTAGTCTTGGGGAGAAAATCTGGGGTGGGTATCCAACCACCTTTCTTGGATACTAGATTGTATTAGTGTTTTCATCTCTTGGTGGATTAAGTCGCTATTTGTTTGTACCATGTCACTGCCGCTTCTGGCCAATCTGTCCGCTATTTCATTGCCTTCCAAGCCACAGTGACCTGGAATCCACTGCAGTACAGATTGTTCTACTGAAGAGCCTAAGTAAATCAGCTGTTGCGTCAAGTCTACAAACTGAGTGTCTTTTGGGTTAACAATTGCTTGTAGAACTGACATAGCATCAGTCAGAAAGACAACTCTGCTATATTTGCCGTGCTGTTGTTTATTCAGGAAAGAACATGCCGCTAGAAGTCCTTCTGCCTCTGCTCTGTAATTGGAGGAATATGAACCTGTTGGTACAGCCTGGTTGATTTTTAAACCATTTAGGCATTCTATGTATATTCCTCATCCTCCGTCTCTTACTGCTCTCTTGGCTGAACCATCTGTATACACTCGAATCCAACTCTGGTGTGGATAAAGTCTATTGATCTCTCCTTCTGTAGTTGATTTCATATCAGTGCTGCTCATTGATGATTTGGAGGAGACCCCTGTTACTGTGGTTCTGATTGTTGGTAGACTATCCCTAAGCCAAGCAGGGCAGTCGTTGTAAGGTTTAAGTGGAACATTTGGTATTATGGGAGGGAGTTTAAGGACGGCGAGCTTGGCATTTGCGTTCTTAATAAAACAATAGCATGTGTTCTGTTTGTCGACGACTGCACAATATATACTAGCCATGATAACTGTAATGAGTTGGAACGTTCCTTACAAAAAGAAATAAGATAATCTTGTAAAATGGAACGATGATAACTGCATTCAAATACATACTTTTTTCCTTTTAAGGAGGGAATTTTTCCTTATTTGAAGCCCTACTCTGGCTCTTTCCAGGGGCCGCAATATAGCCTGGCCATAAATATGGGCTAAAGGCTGAACGCGGTTTCTGGGACCTCTCCACGGTGATCCTCACCCACATGGTGGCACTTTGTGTCATCGGGTGTTTATCGCTTGTGTGATGTCCTGGTGGGGTTGAAAGTCAGTCAGTCAGTCTGCATAGTTCTTATTCACATCGAGGCAATTTGGTTCGCCATTTTTTGTTACTTTAAGGCCCCACCCCGGCTTTAGTCGGGGGCCCTAATATAATCCAAGGGTTCAATGGGGTTTCTGGTACTTGTGCCCGGGTGATCCTTATTCGAATGGTGGCACCGGGTGTTGGTCGCTCGCTGCACAGTCCTTATACATACATTAGCTTTGCACATATATAACTTTCAACAAGGCCACATTTATTCATAAAATCTTATCTCAAAATGTTTCAGCAAGCGACAAAGTTTAATTTGCCCAAACTAGAATTGTTTTTTTTTTAAAAACAAGTTACAGAAAACTGTTTCAGCTCGTGCTTACCAGTAAATATACGCCACCTTAAATGTAGTTAATATGACATATTGCAATATGCATTTATAAATAGATAAGGTGTGTATGATATGAGTGTATGTGTGACACGTATATGTGTGATATGCATGTATGTGTAGGGGTGTTTGTGTATGTGTGGGTAATTTTGTACGACTGGATGTTTGTGTATGTATAGGTATATGTGAAAATGTATGTGTAAGCAACAGTAAGTAAAGTGAGTAATGTGGTCAGCATTACGCCGACGCTCTTTGCTTCCCCAGAACATACATCCTGGTACCCATTTTAGGCTGGATCGCCCTGCGACGCCCCATACCATGATACAAATCCACGCAGCCAATGGTGGGTTTCGATCGCGGTACGTTGGAATTACAAATCAGGCTCACAACGCTTAAGCTACGGACGCCGCTATAAGCGACAGTACATGTATGTATATGTATGCATCTGTATGTATGAGTGTTTGTGTATGCGTATCTGTGTGCGTGTATTTCTGTGTGTGTACTTGTCTGTGATTATGTCTGTGTGTGTTTGTGTGTGTCTATGTGTGGGTGTCTGTTTATGTGTGTGTGTGTGTGTGTGTCTGTGCTCCTCTGTGTGTGTGTCTTTGTGTGTGTGTGCGTGTGCATCCATGTGTGTGTCTGTATGTGTGTCTGTGTATACATACATATAAATGCGTGTGTGTCTTTGTGTGTGTCGGTGTATCTACATGCGTGTGTCTGTGTCTATGTGTGTCTGTGTCTAGGTATGTGTGTTTGGGCTTGTGACTGTGTGCATGTGTCTCTGTGTGTGTTTGTGTGTGTGTCTATGTGCATGGGCGAGTATCTTTCTGTCTCTTGCTCTCTCTCTCTCTCTCTCTCTCTCTCTCTCTCTCTCTCTCTCTGTGTATGTCTTTCTCTTTGTCTGTGTCTGTCTGTATGTGTGTCTGTGTTTTATGTCATCATCATCATAAACTGCTTCTGCTGTTAAGCGCCGTGGGAAGTAATAATCTGCGATCCAGTGCACACTGGCTGCCACTGGCTATTGTCATGCCGTGAAGGCGTAGAGTGTCTTTAATATTGTCGATCCATGTTTTCCGCGACCATCCTCTTGTACAAGTTAGTAGTACCCCCCCCCCCTTTCCCCAGCCCACTACAGCTTAATGGTTCTAGTCTGAATCAGGTTAGTGAGTTTAAATACCTAGGAAGTGTGTGTATGCAGGCATATACGTGTGTATGTATTACTGATTTCAGAATTGCCATCATAGCACACCCATAAATGCTCCGTCTCCCGCAGTAAATGTCTTAAGGTGTTGATACTTACTGTTCCCGTAGCACACTGATCATGCACACGCCCCTTTTTGCCGGATCAAGTCTAATTCGCACATGTTATTTCATCTAATCTCGTGTCCTCTGTCAACATTCGATTATGTCTAGTCTTCAGAATATCTCCCTTATCCCTGCAATGGACTGATGCATGATATCCACTTATGCCACATTAGTACATTTGAAACCTTCTGCAGTACTGACTGAGAATCAGACACAATAATTCTTCTGCTAATTTTGTTTTCTGCTGTCCAATTCAGAGCTCAAGTTATTGCCTCCACTTCCATCCTCATGCTTGAAATTGCAGATTTAAAATAAAAACTTCACTGGGTTCTGCATGGTACTAGGAAGGAGGGGCAGGGGCCGACCGACACGAAGATGGGCACAGGATATAAGTGACTCCTTGAGTATGAAAGTACATGAGGAGGGAAAACTGGTGAGAGACCGAGTTTCTTTTAGGCAGACTGTGATGAGAGCGATGTTCTGCAAAGGACCTGCTACATAATGATGATGATGATGATGATATTTTTATCTGAGCATAACGTGCTTTATTGATGAAATACAACCACAATGTGAAAGACGGGTGTTTGGAAGAACCGAATGTAAGACAGGCCTGCGTGCCCACATTGTGACTCTTTGAAAATAAAGTTCGTTCATTCGTTCGTGCTGTTCTGCTTTTTAGCGTCAGATTTCCAGGAAAATATGGTGCGAGCCTGGCTAGGTCACGATCGACTATTTATTCTGGAAAAGGCGGTGGCTAGGTAAAGTCTCTTTGCATTGCAGTGGTGCGTCGAGATTATGAAGCTGGACTTTATATTTTTATAGGCCAAAATGGATCTCGTAAATTCTGGTAATTACGGCTTTGGGTATTCCCTCCATTGCTTGCGTGATCGAGCTCTAGTTCTGCAACCATTGTGTTTAGGTGACAGGGCTGTCTGTGGTGCACTGTTTGCTAGTAATCCTGACACGCGTCAGAATAATCTGATCTGTTGTCTCTTTATGTTGCTAGTACTGGTTCTGTCTTAATGTTTTTCATGATTCATATTGGTTATTACTCTCATACTTTAATTGTTCCGTTGACTGGGATAAGTGTGGTAACATTTTAACATTAATGAAAGCAGTTCCGGTTTAGCGACCGAGTCATCCTGCAGAAGTCTCCTTACTTCCTGCTCCAACTGATCATTAGTTTATCTCACAGAATTCGCAATTGTTCCCCTAGGATGGCAAACAGGCTACCTGCCGTTGTTATTGACAATGGTACCGGGTGAGTGCATTATTTCAATAACTGATCTAGTTCGTTGCTTGCAATCGACACGTCTATAATTTAAGTTGTTCTGTTTGTGTTTCGCATTTCCTTCCTATTTCCTGGACCGGTAGATTAGTGTGTGGACACAAGAAGAACGGGATTATTTTGATAATTCATATTTATTTTCGCACGGCGGACATTTGTTTACTGTTTATGCTTCTTTCTTGAGTGTCACACGACTTCATTATTTTGTAAATCAAATTGTTTTGCCAGCAGGTAGAAAAAAAATGAGTCATGTGATTCTCTGTTTTGTGAATGGATACACACACCCCTTTCTTCTTTTGAAAGGATGAGATCGGCCGGTCTGATTTATTTTGAACATTTGTATTAATCCTTGCAGTTGCATTGTAACTGGTACATTTCCCTAGTAAAATATTTCTAAGTTCTTGACTTGTAATAACCACATATTCTAGTTTTCACGAAATTTTATATTAAAAAGGAAGTTTAGCCTCTGACATACACGTAGGGGAGGGGATAGTTATGTCAAGGAGGGGAGATAACCAAACAAAAAGTAGTCAGAATGCATACCCCTTTGACATATTTACTTTTTGTTGGAATGATCAAGGGGAAAAGCAAATGTGCTTGACATAATCTTATTTGTTCTACTTCTAATAGTTACTCATTGATCAAAACACAGAATTATGTGTCATATTGTCAGAGTCTGCATTCATGTTTTTGTGTGTATTGTTAATTGTTAACTATCTTCCCCTTACCTAGCCTCATACTAAAGGTCTCATTATAATTTTTCTTTATTTGAAGCCCTACTCTGGCTTTTGCCAGGGGCCACAATATAGCCTGGCCATAAGTATGGCCTTAAGGCTGAACGTGGTTTCTGGGACCTCTCCACGGTGATCCTCACCCACATGGTGGCACATTGTGTCATTGGGTGTTTATCGCTTGTGTGATGTCCTGGTGGGGTGGAAAGTCAGTCAGGTCTCATTCAGGTTCTCTCAATTTTGTTGTTGTTGCCAGTAAAAGAAATGTTAATAAATGTACAAAAACACATGTCAGTGATTAGTTGTCATAACCCCCCTCCCAATCCCCATTTCAAATTTCTTAGCTTAAGTTTAAAAAAAAAAACCTTTGGCTCTTTTCCTCACATTAGTTTGCACATCAAATCCTGTCCGTTATTGTCGTAATTAAACGTTTTGACCTTTGACTTCTGCTTTCTGCCATTGCTTTTCTCTACCGATGTGCTGCAGGTGTAGTGGTCGCTGCCATGGCACCCTAGGACACCCCATGGACACACCGAAATGAGTGAAGGAGAAACCAGAGCCACGACAGTAACACTGTCCTCACCACCTGGGTGACTTGCTGTCCTGGTGAGACAGCCACTGTTAATACAGACCAGGTCAATGGTTTCAAGGGTGGTCCCAAGGTCCTTCCCCTGTGTGTTGAAGGAAATGTTTCCTGTCTTATCTTGTAAACAAGTCATGAAAATCTTCACTTGTGTACTTCTTTGTTCTGATATACATTCCAGTACTTATTCATTTATCATTATTTCAGTCCATCTGGTTTTTGTTCATTTAATATAATACCATATCTTTAACACTTGTATATGTTAATAGCTTTTAAATAGTTTAGTCACGACGACTTTTGATGCCTGGTTTAAAAGAGACTGTTCAGGTTTCTCGCATTTGTCTTTTTGTGCTTTCCCTCTATCTCTTGCCTAGTATTTTCAAAATTTCTCAGTTGTGTTGATAGGCCCCATAAAACTAGTCGTTTCCCTTTTATCATCTGCAGCTTTTGAATACCTCAGTTTAACAAAACATCACAGTAGTGAAAGCACTTGCAGATGAAGAAAAAAATGATTATAGAAATAATATTGGCTTCATTGCTTCGCTTTTACTCTTGGTCATAGAGATGGTAAGAGATTGTTGTAGAGATGGTAAGAGATTGTTGTAGAGATGGTGAGAGATTGTGTAGAGATGGTAAGAGATTGTTGTAGAGATGGTAGGAGATCGTGTAGAGATGGTAGAGTAGGAGATTGTTGTAGAGATGGTAGGAGATTCTTGTAGAGATGGTAAGAGATTGTTGTAGAGATGGTATGAGATTCTTGTAGAGATGGTAGGAGATCGTGTAGAGATGGTAGGAGATCGTGTAGAGATGGTAGGAGATTGTTGTAGAGATGGTAGAGTAGGAGATTGTTGTAGAGATGGTAGGAGATTCTTGTAGAGATGGTAAGAGATTCTTGTAGAGATGGTATGAGATTCTTGTAGAGATGGTAGGAGATTGTTGTAGAGATGGTAGGAGATTCTTGTAGAGATGGTAGGAGATTGTTGTAGAGATGGTAAGAGATTCTTGTAGAGATGGTAGGAGATTGTTGTAGAGATGGTAGGAGATTGTTGTAGAGATGGTAGGAGATTGTTGTAGAGATGGTAGGAGATTGTTGTAGAGATGGTATGAGATTGTTGTAGAGATGGTATGAGATTGTTGTAGAGATGGTAAGAGATTGTTGTAGAGATGGTATGAGATTGTTGTAGAGATGGTAAGAGATTGTTGTAGAGATTGTTATAGAGATGGTAAGAGATTGTTGTAGAGATGGTATGAGATTGTTGTAGAGATGGTAAGAGATTGTTGTAGAGATGGTAAGAGATTGTTGTAGAGATGGTATGAGATTGTTGTAGAGATGGTATGAGATTGTTGTAGAGATGGTATGAGATTGTCGTAGAGATGGTAGAGTAGGAGATTGTTGTAGAGATGGTAGGAGATTGTTGTAGAGATGGTAGGAGATTGTTGTAGAGATGGTAGGAGATTGTTGTAGAGATGGTAGGAGATCGTGTAGAGATGGTAAGAGATTGTTGTAGAGATGGTAGGAGATTGTTGTAGAGATGGTAAGAGATTGTTGTAGAGATGGTATGAGATTGTCGTAGAGATGGTAGAGTAGGAGATTGTTGTAGAGATGGTAGGAGATTGTTGTAGAGATGGTAGGAGATTGTTGTAGAGATGGTAGGAGATTGTTGTAGAGATGGTAGGAGATTGTTGTAGAGATGGTAGGAGATTGTTGTAGAGATGGTAGGAGATTGTTGTAGAGATGGTAGGAGATTGTTGTAGAGATGGTAGGAGATTGTTGTAGAGATGGTAGGAGATTGTTGTAGAGATGGTAGGAGATTGTTGTAGAGATGGTAGGAGATTGTTGTAGAGATGGTAGGAGATTGTTGTAGAGATGGTAAGAGATTGTTGTAGAGATGGTAGAGTAGGAGATTGTTGTAGAGATGGTGAGAGATTGTTGTAGAGATGGTAAGAGATTGTGTAGGGATGGTAAGAGATTGTTGTAAAGATGGTGAGAGATTCTTGTAGAGATGGTAGGAGATTGTTGTAGAGATGGTAGGAGATTGTTGTAGAGATGGTAGGAGATTGTTGTAGAGATGGTGAGAGATTGTTGTAGAGATGGTAGGAGATTGTTGTAGAGATGGTAAGAGATTGTTGTAGAGATGGTATGAGATTGTCGTAGAGATGGTAGAGTAGGAGATTGTTGTAGAGATGGTAGGAGATTGTTGTAGAGATGGTAGGAGATTGTTGTAGAGATGGTAGGAGATTGTTGTAGAGATGGTAGGAGATTGTTGTAGAGATGGTAGGAGATTGTTGTAGAGATGGTAGGAGATTGTTGTAGAGATGGTAGGAGATTGTTGTAGAGATGGTAGGAGATTGTTGTAGAGATGGTAGGAGATTTGTTGTAGAGATGGTAGGAGATTTGTTGTAGAGATGGTAGAGTTGTTGTAGAGATGGTAGGAGATTGTTTGTAGAGATGGTAAGAGATTGTTGTAGAGATGGAGGTAGGAGATTGTTGTAGAGATGGTGAGAGATTGTTGTAGAGATGGTAAGAGATGTGTAGGGATGGTAAGAGATTGTTGTAAAGATGGTAAGAGATTCTTGTAGAGATGGTAGGAGATTGTTGTAGAGATGGTAGGAGATTGTTGTAGAGATGGTAGGAGATTGTTGTAGAGATGGTGAGAGATTGTTGTAGAGATGGTAAGAGATTGTGTAGGGATGGTAAGAGATTGTTGTAAAGATGGTAAGAGATTCTTGTAGAGATGGTAGGAGATTGTTGTAGAGATGGTAGGAGATTGTTGTAGAGATGGTAGGAGATTCTTGTAGAGATGGTAAGAGATTCTTGTAGAGATGGTAGGAGATTGTTGTAGAGATGGTAGGAAATTCTTGTAGAGATGGTAAGAGATTCTTGTAGAGATGGTAAGAGATTCTTGTAGAGATGGTAAGAGATTCTTGTAGAGATGGTAAGAGATTCTTGTAGAGATGGTAAGAGATTGTTGTAGAGATGGTAGGAGATTCTTGTAGAGATGGTAGGAGATTGTTGTAGAGATGGTAGGAGATTCTTGTAGAGATGGTAGGAGATTGTTGTAGAGATGGTAAGAGATTGTTGTAGAGATGGTAAGAGATTGTTGTAGAGATGGTAAGAGATTGTTGTAGAGATGGTAGGAGATTGTTGTAGAGATGGTAGGAGATTCTTGTAGAGATGGTAGGAGATTGTTGTAGAGATGGTAAGAGATTGTTGTAGAGATGGTAAGAGATTGTTGTAGAGATGGTAAGAGATTGTTGTAGAGATGGTAGGAGATTGTTGTAGAGATGGTAAGAGATTGTTGTAGAGATGGTAAGAGATTGTTGTAGAGATGGTAGGAGATTGTTGTAGAGATGGTAAGAGATTGTTGTAGAGATGGTAAGAGATTGTTGTAGAGATGGTAAGAGATTGTTGTAGAGATGGTAAGAGATTCTTGTAGAGATGGTATGAGATTGTTGTAGAGATGGTAAGAGATTGTTGTAGAGATGGTAGGAGATTGTTGTAGAGATGGTAAGAGATTGTTGTAGAGATGGTAAGAGATTGTTGTAGAGATGGTAAGAGATTCTTGTAGAGATGGTATGAGATTGTTGTAGAGATGGTAAGAGATTGTTGTAGAGATGGTAGGAGATTGTTGTAGAGATGGTAAGAGATTGTTGTAGAGATGGTAAGAGATTGTTGTAGAGATGGTAAGAGATTGTTGTAGAAATGGTAAGAGATTGTTGTAGAGATGGTAAGAGATTGTTGTAGAGATGGTAGGAGATTGTTGTAGAGATGGTGAGAGATTGTGTAGGGATGGTAAGAGATTGTTGTAAAGATGGTAAGAGATTCTTGTAGAGATGGTAAGAGATTCTTGTAGAGATGGTAGGAGATTCTTGTAGAGATGGTAAGAGATTGTTGTAGAGATGGTAAGAGATTCTGTAGGGATGGTAAGAGATTGTGTAGGGATGGTAAGAGATTGTTGTAGAGATGGTAAGAGATTGTTGTAGAGATGGTAAGAGATTGTTGTAGAGATGGTAAGAGATTGTTGTAGAGATGGTAAGAGATTGTTGTAGAGATGGTAAGAGATTGTTGTAGAGATGGTAAGAGAATGTTGTAGAGATGGTAAGAGATTGTTGTAGAGATGGTAAGAGATTGTTGTAGAGATGGTAAGAGATTGTTGTAGAGATGGTAAGAGAATGTTGTAGAGATGGTAAGAGATTGTTGTAGAGATGGTAAGAGATTGTTGTAGAGATGGTAAGAGATTGTTGTAATCTGGGGATAGGCAAGCACGGGTATCTTAATTGCTTGACCACTCACATGTCAGAAAACAGATAAGATGTCATCAGTGGATTCAATATGTCATGATAATCCATCTTTTCAGTTACACAAAGATGGGTTATGCAGGGAACACAGAACCTCAATTCATCATTCCATCAGCCATTGCTATCAAGGAAACAGCAAGTGTAGGGGACACAAATCAAAAGAGGCTGGGGAAGGGAGTGGAAGATTTAGATTTTTTCATCGGTGATGAAGCCATCAATCTCCCATCTTATGCCACAAAGGTAATGGTATTGTTAACTTTTAAATACTGATTTGTGTGCTTACATGTTACTGTAAATCTTTGTTAGTTAGTTGGGTTCTCATCATTGCACTCACCACATGTCCATAACTGCTCAGATCCTCCCCTCAGTATGAACCCTAGTGTCCGGTGACTAAATCTTTAATTTGTTAATACTAATTTTGTGGTTACATGTTATTGTAAATTAACCCTCCCCCGCCCCCTTTTTTGTGTGGGTTCTAGGCCCCATTGTGTGGGTTCTAGGCCCCATTGTGTGGGTTCTAGGCCCCATTGTGTGGGTTCTAGGCCCCATTGTGTGGGTTCTAGGCCCCATTGTGTGGGAAAACAAGAATAGACCCACTGCCTCCTCAAGAAAAGATCTCATAGGAGTGGACTAATTAGTATCACTCTTCAAAGTCGGAGAGACAAGGAGCCAAGAGTCTGCAAACAGAAAAGCCAGATCTGTTAAACTGATGTGTGTGTAACGCTCAGGTTCTGGAACAAGTCCAGAGGTAGACGGACAACTAGAACTTTTCACAGCCAAAGAAGAAGTGGTAGTTTACTATTTTAATGTTAATTTTATATTTACAGGTTACTGTAATCTTTATAACTTTTTAATTTTCATTCTGTGGTTGCATATTACTGTAAACCTTTGTTAACTTTCAAATACTGATTTTTTTAGGTACATGTTACTGTAAACTTTAACTGTTTATAATTTTGTGGTAACAGGTTACTGTAAATTTTAGATTTTTATTTTTTATTTTTGGTTACATGTTACTGTAAACATTCATTAACTTTTTAATACTGATGTTGGGGTAACATGTTGCTGTACTTTCATATTAGCCAACCACAAATGGAAAATCCACAGGTCACGGGACAGTCAAATATTTCATTGGGTGGTAGATTAAGTGTAGTTTTGATTAGGGTTAGGTAAACGCCTGAAAACGTTGGCCTTAGAAGAAACCCAGAAAACAACCCTCTAAAATATTGGACTGTCCTATGATGTCATTTGTGGTCAGCTAAAAACAAAGCACCCATGTTACTGTAAATCTTCTTAGGTTGAAGACAGGCATACTTTTAATTAGGCTGCAGCTATTACCACCTGGACACAATTATTTTAACGGCCACTGAGAAAGGAAACAGAACGAATGTGAAATGTCCAGAGAGCAGTGATATCAGTTCTCATTCACTCGATCGTTATTCGGACTGTAGCTAATATCACAAACATTAACATATGAGTCAAGATTTGGAAGCTAATGCTCCTACTTGTACATGTAATAAAACAGTGGCAGTGCTTTTTGTACACCATGATTAAAAAGTGTTTGTTTTTCATTGCAGTGGCCCATTCGTCATGGCATCATTGAAGATTGGGATCTGATGGAACGGTTTTATGAGCAGGCTATCTTCAAATACCTTAGGGCTGAGCCTGAAGACCATTATTTTCTTCTAGTAAGTCTATACTGTCAAGTCTGTTAAATATGTAACAAAATACTGGCATCATTCCGCATGTGGGGCCGTATTGTGGAGAAAACAAGAATAGGCCCATTGCCTCCCTAACCGGCATGTCGTAAGAGTCAACTAATTTGGAAGCTTTCTTCAAAGTTATAGTGCATCTGCCTGTGAGACGAGAAACAAAGTCTGCATACAAATAAATTAGATCTGTAAAATATATGTGCACAGAAGACTCTGGTTCTGTAACTAGACTAAAGTCCAGAGGTGGACAAACAACCAGAACTTTCCATCAGAGTTTACAGCTGGTGAATACGGAGAAGAAGAAGAGACGCATTATGCAGTGGTTAGAGCATGTAGAGAGAATGTCAGATAATAGAGAGACGAAAACTGCAAACACAGAAGAATAATGAGAGTAGGCAGAAAAGATGTTGGAGAGTTAAACTTGGAATTACCAACTGGAGAAAGGGTAGTCACAGAGATTAACTGGGGCAGCTGATTACTGCAGCAATGAACCTCAAAAGTTCCGCATGCTGAAGAAGAAAAAGAAATGAAGATGAATATAATAGGAGTTCTGATAGTTTATTTCAGATGCAAATGTTTTTCTCAATGATAGTGATAGCACTGGACATATTATTAAACTGTTATATAATCTGTTATTTAGTATTGCCTTTTTCATGCTCTTTCAGACAGAGCCTCCACTGAACACCCCAGAAAACAGAGAGTACACTGCTGAAATAATGTTTGAGTCTTTCAACATTCCAGGACTATATATAGCTGTACAGGTCAGTATCAACATTCTAGGACTATATATAGCTGTACAGGTCAGTATCAACATTCCAGGACTATGTATAGCTGTACAGGTCAGTATCAACATTCCAGGACTATGTATAGCTGTACAGGTCAGTATCAACATTCCAGGGCTATATATAGCTGTACAGGTCAGTATCAACATTCCAGGGCTATATATAGCTGTACAGGTCAGTATCAACATTCCAGGACTATATATAGCTGTACAGGTCAGTATCAACATTCCAGGACTATATATAGCTGTACAGGTCAGTATCAACATTCCAGGACTATATATAGCTGTACAGGTCAGTATCAACATTCTAGGACTATATATAGCTGTACAGGTCAGTATCAACATTCCAGGACTATATATAGCTGTACAGGTCAGTATCAACATTCCAGGACTATATATAGCTGTACAGGTCAGTATCAACAAGTAGCTTGTTTTATACTGTGCTACTTTGCCACTTAATCTGCACAGCCTCAAGATGCCAGTACTATTTTTGAAAGTCTTTAGATATTGTAATTCCTGTCTTTATCCCAGTGGATGGAGCAGCTGGCTGACTGGTCAGAGCACCCGGCTTTCGTGTGGGAGACTCAGATTTGATCCTCAGTAAAGGGATGGGAATTTTGTCTGTGGGAAGCAAAAATAAAAATACTAACCTGCAGCACAGTTTGTGATTAGCCATGCGGCCTATGACCTAGGCTCATGTCCCCCCCCCCCCCCACCCCCCTTTACATGTGTCGCCTTAAAAGTGACAATACAGGCAGTAACATTTAAAAAATCCCAGTTGCACATCCTCCTTTGGATGTCACTCTATAGAAAGGCTGTTCAGCTGAGTTTACTTGTGGGCCGAAATGTTGAAAATGGGGATATTGAAAACAATGACCTGTATGGTGTTTACACTTGTACTATATATAGAGTAGGGAAAAAGAGGTACGAGGCACCCAGCACAACCAGAAGTCAAGAAGAAACAAAAGGCGTCACTGCTGCAGACCTAGCAAAGCTACAAAACGAGTAATTACTAATGAAAACCGAGATCTAGGCCCTCAAGAAAAAAAAAGCAGTGACCGATCTTAAGCAAGCTGAGGAAAGGGACGAGATGACGATCCTCCGAGGCATCCTGCATGAATCACATGAGACCCAAAAGCGACAGGAAGTGGAGGTGACAGACAGAACCCACTTCAAGTCTAGCGTAATGGCCCTGCTAACAGAAACCAAGCTACAGAAGGAGCAGAATGTAGTAATTGCCAACAAAGAGGAGACCAAACACAAAGAGCAGCACGACGCAGTGACACTACTCTTGTCAGAAGTTGCCTCATTTAAGAAAACGCTGACATCCTCAGACGCCACACTATCCAAAACCAATGAAGAAAATACTAAATTACAGATGAATTTGCAGGCAACCAACAAAGTGATAGAGGCAAGAGAGAGTGCGAGGAAGGAAGCGGCTAGAAGACAGCAAGTTCAGTCAAATAAAGTCCAGGGAAATGAACTGACCACAAACCCAACTAAACAGACAACGGAGAAGGACAAGCCCAGGAAAGAAAATGTAGAAACAGTACAAACCGACAACCCATCAGTACTCAACATATTCAGAAAAGTGATAGCCGCCTCAAGCTCGCAAACCACCAGAAACCAAAGCCGAAAACCAGTAATCCGACCAATAGAAGGCAAAACCAAAGACCAATAGAAATCACCCAAGCCGCCATGACAGCACAATAAGCCAGCTCACTAGATCGAAGACACCCGGCAGCCTGTGACCAGCCATGCATGACAGTCTACATCCGATCCATCCCCACCCATACTTGATTCCAGTGCCGCCCCAGACAAATGGTCTTCCCTTTATAGGGCAGACCGAGACCCCCTTCCCACACGCAGAAATCTGACAAATCTATGAAAAACTCAAGCGTGATGAAATGCCGCCAGTGAAAATCTACGATAATTGGAAACTAATTCCAAGCAGTAAAACGCAGAACACAACCGCGGCTCAGTTCAGGAGCTGGTTACAAGAAGCGTGAATCTTTTTTTTTTTTTTTACTTCCACCGCGAATGAATGCCACAAACCAACTCACACTGGACTGCAGGTTACCTCTTAACCCAAATATAACGGTGCCAAATGGCTGTACGATTTAATAGGGTTTCTGGCATTTATTCTAACGTTATTTCAGTTCTAACAAATGCCAGCCAAAGTTGGAGAGACACCAAAGATATGGAACGGAAGTTAAAATACATTTGATGGCCACAGTCATCCTAGAAAAAGGCTTTTCGTCGGAGTACATCTGCCCGTGAGGTAGGGAACGGCAAAAGCCAGTAAAACGGTTGTGCACGCAAAACTCAGGTCCAGGCAAAAGCCAAAAGTTCAAACGGACGATTAACCGGGACCTTCCGCCAGGATTCACAGCCGGTGAACGAAGAAGGAGAAGAAATAAATACATTTGAAAATTAATGCCTGAGAAAAATCATCAACTTAAAATGGGATGAATTTTAAAAGAGTGAAGAGATCAGAGAAATGTCTGGATAAATACCTGCATCGACTGCAATAAGACAAAGAAGGTGGAGATATATTGGGCACACTCTGAGATAAAATGAGCAAAGAATTACAAAAAAAGCACTGAAATGGGAAATAAATGGTCTGAGAACAAGGGAAACATTAAAAACATTATTACAAGAGGCAAAAATCTCTGGGCCTTACTATGTGTGAGAAATCGAGAGCGCTGCATGCAGTAAAGCAAAGCGGAGGAATCAAATGCGATCATGCCTTTCCAGGACCTGTGATCTCCAACAGCATGTATGAATTCATGTGCTGACACCCCCCCATGCCTAGACAAGAGGCTGTCAAGAATCTTCTCACATTGTCTTCCTCTTTCTCTCTTGATTTTATTTTATTTTATTCAAGAACCGACATCACAGCACCCGGGGCATTCCCATAAGCGCTCCGCCTCCATCTTCAGCAGCCAACGAAGAGTTCCGATACTAATGGTGCCAGTAGCTTTCTGATTAAATGTCCGTTTTGCCTTTCCTCTGAGCCTTGAGCTTCTGCCAGAACCTCTCGTCACCCCCAACTGCATCAATCTCACCAAACTGTGGTGATCCATCTGCTCCTTCGCATTGTACACGCTCTCCCACAAGGCACTAACCACGTCTGCCCTATCAAGTAGCAGTATTCCACCAAGTTGTGCAGAGCCAGCCAGTCTGTCCGCCTGTTCATTTCCCAACACACCGGCGTGACCCGGTGAAAAAATCCAGACAATACTCCTCACTCGTGTCCTCCGCAGCGAAGCATGCCACTCTGCACGAAGCATACTTGTTCTGAACTTCCTCAGCATGCTTTCTGAATCGTATCTCTCTTTCCACAATGTTTCTAGTGGTCATTACATGTTCCAGCTTCCGTCTTCTCATAAAAAATATGGTCCTGAATTGATGAACCCTTATGATGTTTCTGGCAAGACCTCACTTCTGTCAGAACTTGTGGGTTATTGTTTTTTTCCTAATGAATTTTAAGCATTTTTCTGTAATCCCTCAAGAAACTATTTGGCTTATAACTGTAGATGTTCTGATATAATTTAAAAACAAGCACTGAACTATGATTGATAACATAATACTGCTGTTTTTGTTCCAAGGCTGTGTTAGCTCTGACTGCCTCTTGGACCTCCCGCCAGGTCGGGGATCGAACCCTCACCGGGACTGTTATTGACTCCGGAGATGGTGTTACTCATGTCATTCCGGTGGTGAGTTTATTGTGAAGTATTTCATTATGAATTTTATGTGTTCATATTTTTTACCATTACCTGTTAAAGGAAGAGGAGACAGATGAACACTGTTTGTTTTTTTTCTGTCCTTTTTTTCTTTTTCTCTAGACTTTGTTCTGCCTTTCAGAATCAGATTTTGAAGGGGAATCTGTTGGTCTTTTGGTGTGTGCTACCTAGATGCTGGTATTAATGGCGTTGGATATTCCATTTATACATCCCTTGCGTGGGTGACCTCTAGCTGTTCTTCTGTTCCATCTGATTGACAGTGCTCTCTTTCTTGCATTATCTTGTAGTTATCTTGACACACGTCTGAGCTATTTGATCTGTTGTCTCTCTATATAGTTCACCACTGGTTCCAAAACTGGCTTGTTTCTTGATGTTGTCATGTTTGATCCTGTCTCATTGCATTTAGTTGAATGAAAGAAAAAACGTGTTCTGTCTCATTTGTCTTTACTGCTACCCTTCTTACCGTTCAGTTTTGACACATTATTTATATGTGTAACACTTTGCATGTTGAATCTTATTTAAATGCAAAAACAGCTGTTATCTTTAACCTGTAGGACAAGAGAGAGCTACAGCACATGTAAATGAAAATTAGGAAGCAGAAAGGAATCGTTAGTCAAAGTTTTAACTTCGCTGCAGATTGGTTACCCGTGTAACTGCTGCCTTCCTGTGCCTGCGGAAAAGACACAAAAGGCTCTGTCCAATGTGAAAAGTAGTCAGTACCAGCACAGTTATGAAGCTCGCACACACACACAAATTAAATACACAAGGCAGCTTTTAGATATATCAAAACTGACAGTCCCCCACTGGAATTGTAACTCATTGTCAATGCAAGCTTCAGTTACAAAAGCTGGCATTGTATACTCAGTACTGCGTAAGTACATGTCATTCTGAACATAATAGGACACACACCAGTTTTATTACAATTCACAACACAAAGCTGTTGCTGGAACCAACAGGCAAAACAGACATTCCACATGAAATGCACAGCTCACAGTGTTGCGCCAAGTACTCAGATCAGTAGCTGGGTGGCGAAACTCCTGGTTTAAAATGGAGAATTTGCATCAGCATACTCTGGCTAGAAACAAATCAACAGCAGGCTGACGATCTGCCATATTGAATCGGAAGTCCCAGACAAAAATGAATAATGTGTGGAAAACAGGAAGAATCTACATTACTGAATTAGTACACACTACCCTAGTAGTTGGAATAGATGAGAGTGATTAAATACAATACCAAGGTGGCTAAAATGGATCCTAGGGGTTGAACAAATTAACAGCATTGTTGAAATAGATGACAGAAGAATGGCTATGTTTGCTTGTGCTGTTTCAGGCCGAGGGCTATGTGATAGGCAGCTGCATCAAACACATCCCCATCGCAGGCAGAGATATCACATACTTCATCCAGCAGCTACTGAGAGAGAGGGAGGTGGGAATCCCACCCGAGCAGTCCCTAGAAACTGCAAAAGCCATTAAGGTAAGCTTGGCCATCACTCTGCATTGTAATTCTTCTCATTATCTGTGCTGCACCTGTTGTGAGTATAGAAGTCGCTGTTGGATGTTGAAAGTTCTCTGTGTGGGTCCCAGGGCAACATCTGGGAGGGAGAAAGTGTAGGTTCACTGCGCCCCTAACGAGCATGCCGTAAAATGGGACTCATTTGAAGTTTGCTGAAGTTGGATGTGTTGGGCCAGGCCAAGAGGCAGAGATATTGCAGCCCAGCTGTAAACCGCAGTACATTGTGCCAGCTACCATTTTAGCACAGATGCAGAAGAAGAAGAAGTGAAATTGAGTACAGGCACAAATTGTTAGTGATCAGTTATACACAGGCATTTTGTGAGGCTAAATTAATGAGCAGTTGCTAATAGGGATTGTAATTTCAAGATACATGGTACATATGATGATACGTGATATATGAGATACATAATATGCGATTCATGGTACGCTAGATACATGATACGAGATACATGGTTTGATTCTGGGTGCTGGCGATTTGGTCACCTGACAGCTTTCTGTTGATTTTGACTATGGTATTAAGAGGTGACCATTCAAGAACAGTGGCAATCTACTGAACGTAGAAAATGCCCCGTAAAACCACAAATAGCAAACAAATGGCTGTGGTTGGTTTGCAGTGACCTTTAATGAATACACAACTGACTGTTTGAGTCTGTCTGCGTGGGGTTGTGGTTTTTGTGTCCTGGGATTCGACAGTTCCAGGACTCGTTCTGAATATGCTAATTTATTTTTCATATTGTTTTAAAAATTGTTAATAGTTGTAATGAATGTATTTTAGTATGTCTGGGTGGGGGGGGGGGGGGGGGGGGGGTTGCAACATGTTGTAATGGCTAGAAGCTTGCCTGTAGATCTGAAGGTCAAGGGTTCAGATCCGAATAGAGCTAGGCTTTTTCAGAAATGACCCTGGCTTTCAGGTCGACCCAGCCTTGGTAAAGTTCTGGAAAATAGAGGCATTCGGCTTGATGTTGACTGAATCACCCATTGAGTGCCGATCGGTCTATAAAATATAGGTCTATTAATGTGTGCCCAATGGAAGAGGGTCCTGTACTTTACTTTTACTTTTTTTTTAATGTAATGATGAAGGCTTTCTGGCCAAATTGTACTGTCACTTGTGAGTATTCTTGTCAGCAGCCACATCCTGCTTGACAATTTAATAATTTGATCATTAATTTCCTCCTTATTTAGGAACGATTTAGTTACGTCTGTCCAGATGTGGCAAAAGAGTTTGCAAAGTACGATTCAGATCCAGGGAAGTGGTTGAAGAAGTATGAAGGCATCAACGCTGTGACCAAGAACCAGTTTAGTGTGGACGTTGGCTACGAGAGATTTTTAGGCCCAGAGATTTTTTTCCACCCTGAGGTTTGTTTTTCTTGATTATTTAGCATATTTACATATCTAGGAAGTGTGGTCACGGATGATGGCTGAACTCACAGAGATATAGAAAGTAGATGTCAGAATGCAAATTACTTATATACCAATTGTGACCATTATTAGGACATTCAGGCATAACTAGCTGGGCAAAGAGACAGATTATTAACAGCATATTCATTCTAACATTGAGCTAAAAGTCATTAACATGGATACTATCTAAAAACCTCTGTACACAAAATCACCACCTGCAAGATGAGATGCCTGAGAAAAGTCGCCACCTAATGATCTGAGATTGAGTGAATAATGAAACTATCAGACCGATTGTGGGAACTGCTTTTTGAACTAGATTCATCGACAGACAACAGATAAAATGGTTCAGCCATCTTTTTAGAATGCAGCATCATCAAATACAATCACATGCACTACATCTGAGAAGATCAGCTACAAGAGCAAGAGGATGGCCATGAAAACATGGATTGACAATATTCAAGACGCTTTCCAATTCCACAGTAACCAGTGCCAGCCAGCGTGCATTGGATTGCAAATTATTCCTTCCCATGACGCTTAACAGTAGAACTGGTTTATGTTCATGATGATGATAATGATTGTTATGACTGAGTGTTCCCAGTTTGTTTTTTTACATGCCATTGACCACAAATCCTTGTCTGTGGTTCTTCCCGTCAAGCTTGCTCGTCTGTCTGGGAACTGTTGTTTTAGATTGTCGTCATTGATTTCTCGCCACTGCACTTTGGGCATCCACCTGTATGATCAGTTTTCCATAGCCATGGTACCTCTACTTACTATACTGTTGATTATAACGACTCCTAATTTGACATTGAAGGCGCATGGATGTGCTTGACCAGGCTTGGCTCCCAGGTCACATAGCTGGTTTAGCTGGTCCACTTTTCATTATTCACCAACCTAGTCTCTATAGCATGGACTGTGTCAGCTCTGTCCCTGTTTTCACATTCAGCATTAGTGCGTTACTTTGTACTCGTATTCATATTGCAGTCGTTTTTGTCTTAATTCCTTCTGTTAGAAAACTTATATCAGGATGGAAGCTATCACACAGTCAAAATCTCACTGGGTACCATACAGCTTTGCCTTGATTGAGGTTGGGGTAGGCCAGATGGCTTCTCTAATAGCAGTGAACAGTTTATGGTGTTGGAGCACATGCACAGTGTTGGAGCACATGCGCAGTGTTTTCAGATGGCTGGCACACATCTCTGTGTTTCCTACACCCCAAACATATGTTGATGAAGACTGATGAAGCGCAATAATTCATATTATTATGTATTATTATAATTATGTAGTCATAACTATATTAGGTCATAATAATTAATTAACGTTTATCATCATGTCTGAGTTGCTGTTTGATCGTTTCCAGTTTTCAAATCCAGACTTTGAATCTCCAATCTCTGAAGTAGTTGATGATGTCATTCAGAACTGTCCTATTGATGTTAGAAGAGGCCTTTATAAGGTATGTGTTGTATAGAAAAGTTTCATTTGTCGCTGCATTTTTTGACTAGAACACTGGCAGCAGATACTCAAAGATTACATAAACTGCACTAGAAAAAACATGAGTGTAGAATTTCAAACAGGCGTATTGTGTGCTTTATGTTAAAATGTGTAGCCAGATTTTGTTGTTGTTGCTGTATTCAAACCAAATGTAAATTAAAGAATAGGTCACCACACATTGTTTGGTACGCAATGAAAGTAACTGAAAACAGGTATTATTTGAAGAGTTAATGCATTCTGCTTGTCATTAGGTAATGCATTGAGAGTGCTGCTATGTTGACTAGAAGTAGAAGAGCTGGGTTCAGTCCCCCAGGACATATAAGGTTTAACAACCTGCACATCTCTGGGTTAGTCAGTGACCACCAGAGATTTTGTCCCTTTATCTATCAGAGATTTAAATAGAATATACAGTGGATATTTAAATATGACAGGCAATAAAGTGTACACTGTATTATTTGTGTCCACGTTATTTAAATTCACAAGGAAAGTACGTTATATTGAATTTATTCTGCTATGCAGTAAATCCGTTCACATAAGGTTGCAAAAACAATTATTGCATGATGTGTAGAGCTGACTTTAACTCTTTGAGTCCTAGGGGGTTTAGCATCACAGGCCCAAATGGTAGTGAATAGAGACATAAAATTGGCGCATCGTACGTTCATTGGGCTTCTAGGTAGGAACCTGTGAACGTATGATGCGTTCCTTGGGACTCAAAGAGTTAACATACGGCTGTGAATCCTCTACAATTAATAAACAAGCCAAACAAATTCCTGAGGCCTCTGACATGTGTTTTTACATTTGAATATTTGGAATTCCCGTACATGTTGCGATAAGAGACCCAACAATGAGAGTGACCTCCCTTTCCATTGATGCCTTGATCTGATGTGGCGCCTGTGCTGTGTCAGAGGGGTTTCAGGTGTAGTGAGTCATATTTTACTCTTTGTTGTCAGCGGCCGGCAAAACCACGTCTTCTGTGCTGTGATTGCTTTTAACTCTCCCAAAACATGTGCAGCTGGGCCTTACCTCAAACCCCCCCCCCCCCCCCCCCCCCCCCCCTCTCCACAGTCTCAGGATATGTCTCACAACTGTGTGCAGCCTCTGTTATACTCTGTTAACAGTTGGGCCACCTGGGATGCACCCCTGTGACATAGTGGAGGCCCTACACCAGATTGAAGCATCAATGGGAAGGGAGGTCACTCTCATTGTTGGGTCTCTTAATGTGACTAGAACCGGAATTCCTTTTACAGCCAAAAAAGAAAAACTCAGATGTTTTGAAAGAGGCAAGAGCTTGAAGACAGTTATTACCAAACATCAGAAAATAACAGTCATAAAGTTGTTGGTCATGTTTTGAGAAGAAGGAAATGTTGTGACCACTGGAAAGATCTGTTTAAAAAAAAAAGAGACAGGAAGACAGCGCGACAAGATTCTTGACAGCCTTCTGTCGTGACAAGGAGGGGTGTCAGCACACACACTGATACATGCCACCTCTGATTGTTTAAAGGCATGATTGTCCACACCAGTCGGCAAAGCACTTGATAGTGATGACTCTATTATCCTTCATCCACTGGAAATTTCTCTTAAAATACCTTGTCAGTAAGCTAATTGCTATATTACCAAGACTCAGTTGTTTTGTCCTTTATAAAAAATATATTTCTCTGTAGTTTTTGGCTTTGAGTAATCTGATTGTTGTGTTGTTGACTCAAATACAGAATATTGTACTGTCCGGAGGATCAACCATGTTCCGAGATTTTGGCAGGAAAATTCAGCGTGATGTCAAACGAATTGTTGATGCTCGTCTGAAAGTCAGCGAAGACCTGAGCGCTGGTCGCATCAAGGTGAACAAATATAATCTTTTGTCATGTGATTTTATCCCATCAGCATAGTTTGCAACAACTGATTTTGTTTTGCATGTGTTTGGCTAAAGTTGCTGATTTGATACATGGGTAATTTTTTTTAAAGAACGTCAAAATTAGCTTATAAAATACAGCCAACTTTTTGTGTAGATGTGACTAAAATTTCTTAGAAAGGATAAATTTTTCTACGTCTACATTTTTTTTTTAAAAATTCACAATTGACTTTTTAGTTAACTTTCTCAGTACCGATAGTTAAAATTGCTTATGTAATATTTTGTGTTTACCATGTTAAAAAGATATGAAACTGACTTTGTGTGTGCTTGGCAAAAAGAAAAATTCTAGAACAGAAATCTGACTGTCATGCAGTGCTGACTGATGTTCTTGTCTGTCTTGCAGCCCAAGCCCATTGATGTCAATGTGGTCTCACATCACATGCAGAGGTATGCAGTCTGGTTTGGAGGTTCCATGCTGGCTTCAACTGTAAGTCATCTCTGTGTTACTTCTTCATTCATAGAATCTCATACTCTCCACCTGGGGTTCTGAGCCCCATTTATTAAAAGGGTTGGGGGGGGGGGGGGGGGGGAGATAGACTCACTGCCCCCATAAACAAGCACGTCACAAAAGGGGACTAATTAGTAGAGGTGTTTTCTTTCAGCGTCAGAGAGCGTCTGTTTAAGAGGCAAGGAACCAGCTATGTACAAATGAGTAAGCAAGATCTGTCAAATGAATGTGTACACAAATCTTGGGTTCTGTGACAGACACCACCAGAAGTGTATGAACAACCAGAACTTTCTGTTGGAGTTTACAACCAGTGAGTGCACAGAAGAAGAGAAGACTGTGTTCATCTAATACTTGTCTTTAGTTCAGTTTCTTTGTTAAACCCTTTGTGTTTGGATCCTGTTACTCTTGACAGTGAGAATGCCTTGTACTGATGCTTCTACTTAGAGCCCCTATGGTGGGGAGGGGGGGGGGGGAAGTAGAAATAGGGGTTGTCTGATTTAAGTTTTGGGCCAAAAGACGCAAATATCACATTCTAGCTGTAAACAGCAGCACAGCGTGCCAACTACTCTTGTAAGAGCAGACACAGAAGAAGAAGAATAATTAAGTCTTTAAATGGTGGAAAAGGAAACACCTTGTTGGTGTAGATTACATTTTATTTGATGTCTGTTGTGTTTTGTACTTTTGATAACCTATTATTACTTTTGATCTTCTTCTTCTTCTCTAGTCCTGTCCTACTTTTTAACATCTCATTTTGAAGAGGCCTCAGGTGCTAGTGTAGGTATGAGCTACATAGATACCGGTATTTATTGGCTTGGATAGTCCATCTATCCGTCGTTTCACTGGTCGACCTCTGGGTCTCATCTACACTACTTTTGATCTCATCATCATGTCGCAGGTCCTTTGAAGAACATCGCTCTTATCACTGTCTGCCTGAAAGAAACTCGGTCTCTCGCCAGTTCTCCCGCCTCATGCACTTTCACGCTCAAAGAGTCTCTTATATCCTGTGCCCATCTTCATGTTGGTGTGCCCCTGCCCCTCCTTCCTGGTACCATGTCTTCTGCTATAATTTTTTCCAATCCGTCATGGCGCTTGAAAGGATGCTGTTTATTAGCCAATCTTCCTTGATGAACATCAGATCTTTTTGATCTGTACTTTAAAAAATTTCTTTTGTTTCCATTGCAGCCCGAGTTCTACCAGGTGTGTCACACAAAGGCAGACTACGATGAGTATGGGCCCAGCATATGTCGTCACAACCCAGTATTTGGTGTCATGGCGTAAGGTCTCGGCGCGAGTGAGCAAGAAACTAGCAGTCTTATCCAACATTAGATCACCTACCAAAATGTTGAATTCTCTTTTCTACTATCTGTACTTTGCCACAGTTTTGTACATTTTGAGAGGTACCCTTAGCCATTCAAGTGCTACTAAACTACTTCAGAACAATAAAGCAAGCAGAGCCTCATTTGTGAATCAAAATGTATTTTTCTCTGTGTATCAATGTTGAAATTGAATGCAAAAACACAATTTGTGTGATTTTAATTGTTCTTATTTCTTTGACTCTCTTGCTACTTTCTTCACAAAAGTGAGGCCATAGCATATTTATTGTGTTATACCAGTGTAAGAGGAGAATTCTAGATTGCAGAATGCTTTTTTTTTCTGTTAAGGCTTGGCTTAATTTGTGGCGGTTTTTTTTAAATTCCTAATATCACCTGCACTAAACAATAAAACGTTTTTGTGTCACCCATTCACTGTCTATTTTTTTCTTGGGCTCTGAAATTAGCACCAGTGTTATTTAGTGCCACTTTTAGGCAACTTTGAAGGTTTCTAAGATGAAGACGGGCATTGGCGGATAGTACTAGCGACTGTATTGTTGAGAATGTAAAGTAATTGATTTTCTTTTAAAGTTGGTTGCATACTCTTTATAAGATGCTGCAGACCCAACCTCAGCATTTTTGTGTGTGTTTTTTTTTTTTTGGGCTCTTTGATATTTCACTAGGTAATTTTATGTTCATTAATTTGCCATTTCTTTCTAAACGGTCAGCTGTCAATACTTTTATCGACACCAATGTAAGACATTGCTACCAAATCGCCCACTGCTGGGATCGAACCCAGCACCACCAAATTTCATAGCATGTTCAGCAGTGCTTAATCCACAGAGGCCTATAGTAGTAATTGATTGATATGTGGAATGATGGTCTAGGATATAAAACCATAGGTGTAACATTAGGTTGTATCATTGTTGATTGTGTTGTACAGTATCAAGTTAAAGGGAGCAGCAGTAATGTAGTAGCTAGATACTCACCCACCAGCCTGAACAGAACAGGAGGCGTCGGTGCAAACACAGTAAGAAACATGCTTTGTAGAACAGAGCATTCATGGGTGTGCCCGACATGCATTGAAGATGATCCTGAATTGAACAAAGGTGGAGCATTATATTATATTATATCACTGGGTCTTATAAAAAGGACCCTTTTCCACGCCTCTAGGCATATAGGGCTAGACCTAAATATTTTTTTATAGCCTAATCGGCACAAGATGGGTGATGTGGTCAGCATCACACCGGTCACCTTTACTTCCTGGGACTGCACCCGGTACCCACTCAAAGCTGGGTCGACCTGGGAGCCAAGGTCATTTGGGTCTTATAGTCTGACATGAAATAAACATTGTGTGATCCATGAAGAACCATATGGTAAACAGTGTGAAGTAAAGGATACAATGTTATGTCCTAGGGGATCGAATTCCGTGAGATGGCAAGTAATCAGTAGACCTGTGGATCATGATGCAAGGAATATAAAAAGGCATATATTATGTTGTGGCTGGAGTAATTTCTTGTAAATGTCTTTGCACAGCAATAAGAGTGTTAGCATTTTAAAATGTTATTTACAGGATGAGTCTTGTCTGACTTTATATCGACCATATTATCTTTGGATGCTTCTTTTGCTCTTGCTGTCTTTTGTATGGGGATCTTATCTTGAGACTGGTACACTTTATCAGCAACTGCTGAGATGAAGAACAGAAGACTGACTAAGTGAGGGGTGCTTTATAGTGACTGACTTTAGACAGATTGGTTCATGTAAAACCATTTCTCCAAACACATCCATTGATGCTCTGTCTCCCTCAACAGATGTCAGAAAGTGCCATGAACACAGTCTTTGTTGCTGAGAATTGTGCTGTTGAAAGTGAGAGAGTGCTAAATGACACATATCTAGGTGTTTTAGTGTACATTCTGTCATAAAATAAAGGAATGGACACCTCTTGATGAGCTTTCTTGTTTTATTTTATTTGTGTCATCTTGGTGGTTCAAAGCGGCCGGAAGTTGGGATGTTTATCATGTCTCAGGGGTGACATCCGCCTCACAGGCACCAGAAAATTCTGTAGGTGTGGCTACAAGGGTGGGGGCAAGTTCTGCTGTGAATCTCGAGAGAACGTCAGCTTAAGGGTTGCATGGAAAGTGTGGCTACGAGAGTGGGGGCAAGTGCTGCTCTGTGAATCTCGAGAGAACACCAGCTTAAGGGTTGCATGGAAAGTGTGATGCTGACTGTTGGTGGAGAACCTAGTGGCAGTTTCATTCATTTGCTCTCAGGCCATGAGATAGGATGGTTGTGTGAAAGTTGTTCTAGTCCCCTTGGAGCTCACGGATGTATGAGAGTTGTTCTAGTCCCCTTGGAGCTCACGGATGTGTGAGATTTGTTCTAGTCCCCTTGAAGCTCACGGATGTATGTGAGTTGTTCTAGTCCCTTTGGAGCTCACGGATGTGTGAGAGTTGTTCTAGTCCCCTTGGAGCTCACGGATGTATGAGAGTTGTTCTAGTCCCCTTGGAGCTCACGGATATGTGAGAGTTGTTCTAGTCCCCTTGAAGCTCACGGATGTGTGAAAGTTGTTCTAGTCCCCTTGGAGCTCACGGATGTGTGTGAGTTGTTCTAGTCCCTTTGGAGCTCACGGATGTGTGTGAGTTGTTCTAGTCCCCTTGGAGCTCATGAACGTGTGAGAGTTGTTCTAGTCAACTTGGAGCTCACGGATGTGTGTGAGTTGTTCTAGTCCCTTTGGAGCTCACGGATGTGTGTGAGTTGTTCTAGTCCCTTTGGAGCTCATGAACGTGTGAGAGTTGTTCTAGTCCCCTTGGAGCTCACGGATGTGTGAGAGTTGTTCTAGTCCCCTTGGAGCTCACGGATGTGTGTGAGTTGTTCTAGTCCCCTTGGAGCTTACGGATGTGTGAGAGTTGTTCTAGTCCCCTTGGAGCTCACGGATGTGTGAAAGTTGTTCTAGTCCCCTTGGAGCTCACGGATGTGTGAGAGTTGTTCTAGTCCCCTTGGAGCCCACGGATGTGTGAGAGTTGTTCTAGTCTCTTTGGAGCTCACGGATGTGTGAGAGTTGTTCTAGTCAACTTGGAGCTCACGGATGTGTGAGAGTTGTTCTAGTCCCCTTGGAGCCCACGGATGTGTGAGAGTTGTTCTAGTCTCTTTGGAGCTTACGGATCTGTGAGAGTTGTTCTAGTCCCTTTGGAGCTCACTGATATGTGTGATTGTTTTTTTTTTTTTAAATGAAGTCCTCTTCCATTCTTATATTTGTATTACTGGACACTGGTGAACTAATGCCTATGCAGAATGAAATGCTGTGACGGTGTCACTAATGCTGTGACAGTATCACTATTGCTGTGACAGTATCACTAATGCTGTGACAGTATCACAAATGCTCTAATGCTGTGCTTAAACAACTCAAAAAGTTCCAGTCAGTCAAGCTGGACAGGACACCATAAGAAAATGTGATGATGGTACCACTAGATATCACAATGCAGAAAGATGTCAAACCAAATGCCAGATGGATACCGTAGAAGGAAAGGAGAGAGGTGCAGAAGAGTTTTATGGCTTGGTTGAGGGCCTATGCTCCAGTGAGGATAATGAGCAGAACATTTTTTTTTACTTCCTTGCACTCCAGACAGTCTCATAAATGTTCCATCTTTTTCTGCTGATGTTCTTCCGTTGTATGAGAAATTGTTAAATAGATCCAGATAATAAATACATTCTTTTCAATTTACAATCTCTTGTTTAGACAACTGTCTGCAAAACTGGCCCATAGTGTTCAGTCTAAGGTATGTATGGTTATTATTCTACAATGTGATGTCGGCATTATCTTTGCCAAGAACATCTAATGTCAAAAAATGTGTCTCGTTCACTTCTTGAAAAATTTAAAAAAATATTAAGAAATTGTTACAGGCATAATATTGCAGTTGTCATTTGACTAGGAGTTTGTACATTCAGCTTGCAACCAGTGTACTACTGGCCTCACCAATCTTGGAGTATCGTCTGGTCTGTAAAATATGTTGGTCTAGCATGATATGTCTGTTTCAAAGTGTGGAAAGGGTTCGCTACTTGTCCTGCTGCCGGCTTAGGAGCACAGTGGTGCCAAGGTACAGTGCCTTTCATTTCAGCAGACTTAGTGTAAGTCATAGTAAGAGGAGGCGGGTCATTGCAAAGTAATCTCGTCTTTATCCCTGCCACTGGTTTTTAGATAAGAAGCCCACAGACCTCTATGAAGGCTGAACTGTGATGCATGTCCTCCACTTATCGCCACAGCTAGTTTTCCACCAGAAATTTTGACTGCTTGGACAGAGCATGTTTGCAGCAGATGTTCTGTATTCAGAAGTACCTATACTGTTAGAAACCTCAAGGAGTAGGTTCACAGGCCACTTCCCAGGTTGAATTTAAGATATTTCTTCTGCGAATTCACCGTCTGCAAACTTCAGTGGAAAGTTCTAATTGTTCAGACACTTTTGGACTATGTTCCAGAACTTGAGTAGGCTTGCATATCCATTTGACAGATCTGGCTTATTTGTATGTTGGTTCCATATCTCTCATCAGTACAATAGTATAAACACCTCACTAGAAAAAGAGCACATGTTGAGATGACATAAATATTACTGAGAGAGGTATGGGCTGCTGGGCTGTATTCCATCCATGAGAGAGGTATGGGCTGCTGGGCTGTATTCCATCCATGAGAGAGGCGAGGCATGCTGGGCTGTATTCCATCCATGAGAGAGGTGAGGCATGCTGGGCTGTATTCCATCCATGAGAGAGGTATGGGCTGCTGGGCTGTATTCCATCCATGAGAGAGGTATGGGCTGCTGGGCTGTATTCCATCCATGAGAGAGGTATGGGCTGCTGGGCTGTATTCCATCCATGAGAGAGGTGAGGCCTGCTGGGCTGTATTCCATCCATGAGAGAGGTTAGGGCTTCTGGGCTGTATTCCATCCATGAGAGAGGTGAGGCATGCTGGGCTGTATT